GTGGTCAGTTGGGACTGTTTTAAACGTAATTTAATTTTAGAAAACTATAAAAACCAGAAAGAAAATATGCAAACTAAAATAAAAAATACATTTTCTTAAAAGAAAAACGGAACATAATTTTTTTTCAACCTATTTTTATTGAATTTAAATGCAGAAAGTTTACATGCTTGAAAATTCAATATGAATAGAATGAATTTTCTACGTTTTTGAGGTTTTCCAATTTGTGGATTTGTAAATGTAAGCTGTATTCTACAGTTTCTAAATTGATATGAAATTAAAATTAAATTACTGTTTAGAAACATTGATTTATTTTGGAAATGTTTTGATATTTGCATTTATTCACTTTTTCAGGTAGAAAACTGAAACTAAAACCCTGCTTTAAGGTACTTAGTATAAAGTAAGCCATAATCCTTACCGGGTTTTTATCACAGTGATTTCTCTGCATGTTAACATCAAATAAAGTTAAAAAATAAGAGCAATGTTCACCTAAACGCAACTGTGACTGTATGAAGCATGCAAAAACACGTGGGACCTTCAGGCCTTTACCTCTCAGCGGCAACGCAAAGAAAAACATGTAAAAAAAAAAATAAATTCAGTGTTTGATGTAAAAAAGAAATAAAAAAACAGGCACAACAAATATCTACCTTTGACCTTTCAGTCTCACAGACTTCTTCTAGCTGGTCTCTAACCTAAGCATATTTACAAACCGTACAAGAACATGACAGTAGTTTGGAAAAGAGGTCTGTCAGTGTGTCTGGTGACCCTGCAGAGCAAACTAGACATAAAAAAATCTGTTTTGGTCAAATGTAACACGAGTTTCTACACAAACTAAAACCTGTCAGAACTAACGTTTGGTCTCCAACATCATGTCCTGCGTCAAATCTCACCAAAACGAAAACATGCACATGAGCCAGAGGATGCTGTGAAATGGAAATCTGAGCCAAAATATCTTAAATAACAAAATATATATAATATATACACTTTCATAAAAAAGGAAGGATGTCGCACAAACACTAAACGACAGCAATGGGCTGAAACTAATGCGAGAAATGAAGGCTGAAAATACGAATCTGTACATTGACACCAGGGGGAAAGGTGTGGTTGATGTGTGTCAGTGAATGTTTTTCCTGCTGCGGAGAACGGAGAATGATGGGGAGGAGGGGGGGCATCCAGACTCCGACGAGGCGGCGGCGGTCTGCAGATCTCAGGTCAGTGGGAGCGTCCTGATCTGACTCCGACGCGTTCTGAATGCTGCTTCAGGTGACCGTCCAGCGCCGCAGAACCTTCAGGAGTTTTACTGGAAAGAAAGACGAAACAGTGAGCTTGAATCCTTTTTCTGTTAACTCTAGAAGAGCCACAGGAGATTTAATATTTTTAAATATTTTAAAACTCAGAATCCAACTTCTGATGCCAATTTTCTTTTTGAGCTGCTTGTTTCTCTGGTTCCGTAGTTATAAACTCTTTAACTTAATCTGGTTTCTTCATCATTTTATCTCATCCTTATGTGCAACAAGTGATGAGCTACATCTAATTCAAATATATGATGGTTTAGAAACAAATATTTGCTGACATTTTTAAATAGTTTTAGATTATTTTAAATAAGTAGACAGAGGTGACTGGAACAAATACAAAAATCCGTTTTCAAAAGAATTATTATAGAAATGCTATAGTTGGCCCCATAACAGGTGTAGC